GGTTGGGAAGACTGTCCTATCAGGACTTCATTGGGAAATCTTACTCTATGCACCTGTTAGACCTGATTTCCCCCCATGCTTCCTTTTGTTCTTGAAACTCAAATAACCTTTGAAGAAACATTATCTGAGTTTCAAGAATGCAGAACGACCATTTTGATGTGGCGTAAATCAAAGAGCACAACATTCTTTTGTGAAGGATCAGAGAGAGAGAAACCACCTTCAGAAGTGTAGGTGGAGACTATGTTGAGGAAGAAAGGCTTCACCCTTTAGCATCTTTTTTTTTCTTTTTTTTTTTTACCCTTTGGCATCTTGTTCCTAAAAGTTTCCATAATTTAGTGGCACTCATTTTGGATTTTTAACTTACCCTTGTATAAAGGCCTCGAACAAGAATGAACACCCTTCACGGTGCCATTCCTTTTCCATCATTTGCAATTGTATTTTATCCTCAAACATTTTCCCATTTGAGTCCACCCAGGGATGCAAAAAAAATTTTTTTTCAAAACTCCCATCTGTCTACTAAAATCATACACATCCTTCAGAGTGTTGATGAATAATATATGCCAAATTTTAAGGATAGTATTTGAGTCTGGGCATTTTTGTTGTACACCGTCAAGTGAATTCCAACTCTTAAAGACAATTAAGTCTTGTCTTAAAGACAATTAAGTACAATTGTCAAGTGAGATTCTTAGGTTGTAACTTTTATCAAAGAAATGAAATTCTTCTTTTTCACAGAGACATTGAGTGGATTCAAACCACTAGCCTTTTAGTTAACAACTAATCATTCACCCACTGCCTCACCAGTGTTCCTTATCATTTGATGCACACAGAAGTCATGAAATAAGCATACACTGAGTGAACAGATGACAGGAAAGACATATTAACCATGTCTTTCCAAATCCTACTATGCTTCATACCACAAATATGAAGGAAGAAACTATACTGTGTTCTGTATATCTTTTCACCCATATTGCCAAATACATAAATAGTAAATATTTATAAGATGAATCACTAATAATCTAAGAATATGCAGAACTCTTAAAGGAAGATATTTTCTATTATATTACAGACTTTACAATGATCTGGTGAAACAAAATGCCTAAAATCTTAAAATATCTTCTAGACATAAATTATATTAAATGAAACATAATTTTTCTATGAAATATCTCTCAATAATGGAAATGAGCCAGTCAGGGTACATTGTAGCACTGACAAGACATATAGCATTCCTCTAGTTCTTTAATGCTTCCTCCCCCCACTGCCATGACTCCAAGTTTACCTTACAAATCCAGCTAGACCAGAGCATGCACACTGGTACAGATAAGGGCTGGAAACATAGGGAATCCAAAACAGATAAACCCCTCAGGACCAATAATGAGAGCAGTGATACCAGGAGGGTAAGGGGAAGGGGGGGGAGGAAACAGATCACAATGATTGACATATAACCCTGCCCCCCTCAGGGGGAAGAACAACAGAAAAGTGGGTAAAGGGAGACAGGTCGGTGTAAGACATGAAAAAAATAATAATTTATAAATTATCAATATAAATTATGTGGGGGGAGTTTCCTGGATGGATTAATTTTAATTTTCTATGATTTGTAAAAGGTTTCATTCAAAATATTCTAAATGTAAATATTAATGAAGATGATTATTTCTAATATAAGAAAGAGATTAATATAATCTAATATAAAAGAGAGAATTGGAAACCTAGAAAAAGCTGACATTTCACACCTCATTAAAACTAAGACAAATTAGAAAATGAACATAACACTTTAATATCACTTAATGCTCATGGCAGTATTTTAATAATTAGGCCTCAAGAATTCACTGCATATTTCTTATACAAGTCATAATTTTTTGTGCAAAAAACCTACATTAATAATTGGAAAATGGAATGATCAAAAAAGACCAAGTGTAAAGGTTTTCAAAGAAAAGGCAAAAATCTTACATTAACAGGGAGAAGAACAAGTCTGATTACTGAATATCTTTACCTGTAGGAAAGGCAGCCCACGGAATAGCAGGAGATACAGCTTGAGTTTCACCATTCCCGTTATCAAAAGTCTCTGCAGCCTAGAAAATTGAAGCACGATTATTTTAAGATCTGAAAAACCAGAATAACATTTAAGTGATCACGTCTCCAAGTTCTGTAAACACATCCTTTTAAAAATGCCTATACTTCCTAATTCCTTCTGAAAAACCCAACTGCTTTTGCAATTTTCATTTCTACCATTTCCATTAGTCACCGCCTCCAGCATCCATGTCCTAGTCATTATGACCTTCCTTGCCTATATGCATCTCCTGCCAATTCAATTTCCTATTGTTATAGCTTCAATTACATTTTCAACATGAGTCAGAATTAACTCAATGACAATTAACAACAAAAATATCTTTATGTGTAGATGTTTCAATCTACGTCCTTTAAGCTAGTTCACTACAATATTTATGTATCTCTGCTTTATAAATATGGAGCCCTGGTGGTGTAGTGGCTATATGTCGGGCTGTGATCGCATGGTCTGCTCGAAATCACCAGCAGCTCTGCAGGAGAAAGGCAGGGCTTTCTACTCTGCTAAAAATCAGCATTGACTTAATGTCAATGAATTTAGTTTTGTGTGTGTGTGTGTGTGTGTGTGTCCTACAGGGGGGTCACTAAAAAATCAGCATTGACTTGATGTCAATGAG